TGTGTACAGATGTCTTGTACGAAATAGCACCCCCAGCTTTTGGGACGCCCTTTTAGCAATATCTGCCACGTGACTGTGCCAAGACATGTTGGTCTCTGCAGTAACCTCCAAGATGTTCAACTGACTCTGTAATGTGACAGCACTTCCAGATAGCATGATGTTTGGCTCACCGGTGCTGGTCTTTTTTGAAAACAGAGCTGCTTGGGTTTTCTGCGCGTTGAACTGTACAAGGTTTTTGTTACCCCAGTCTTCTATTATCTCCAGGTCGTTATTTATCTGCGATATTTGAGTTAGTCTAAGATGATGGAATTCACGTGTGGAAAAACCTGTGGGTGGTATGAGTGAGGAGACTACATTGCCATCGTCTGCAAAGCAATAAAGTGGATTTACTGTTTTATCTATGAGGTCATTTATGTAAATCAGAAAAAGAGTTGGCGAAAGGATTGCTCCCTGTGGCACACCAGCATTTATTTGGTAAGAGTTGGAGTTCTGGCCATCCAGTGCAACATAAATGGATCTGTCCTTTAGGTAACTTTCAAACCAAGTGCAAAGTTTCGGCGATAATCCCATTGCTTTGAGCTTATTGAGCAGATTTTCATGCCAAACTTTGTCGAATGCTTTAGATATATCTAAGGCAATTGTTCTTGTTTCACCCCGCAACTCAATCGCTTTTTGCCATAAGTGAGTGACGTATGTAAGTAAATCGCCAGTTGACCTATATTTTCGAAATTCGTATTGCTTATCGTTGATAATTTTGTACTTTTCCAAGTACTTGGTTAGGTGATTGTTCACAACTCTTTCCATTACTTTTGATATCACCGGAAGTAGAGCAATTGGTCTATAGTTTAACGGATCTGTCTTTTTTCCTTTCTTTGGAATGGGTTGTACTGCGGCAGACTTCCATGATGATGGATATACTCCTTGCCTGTAAGACAAATTGAATAATTTTGCGAAAGTTGGGGTGAGTTCGTTGGCGCAATTTTTGAGTACTATTGCGGGAATGCCATCCGGACCCATTGCTTTGTTTGTATCTAGCTTTTTAAGGGATTTTCGTATTTCTCTGTGACAAAAGGGTACCTCTGGGATACTATGGGAAACCCTTTCAATGAACGATGGAGTTTTTCCGTTTGGCACTGTAAGGTTGGAGTTGGAGGAAAACATTTGGGCCAGCATATTGGCTTTTTCCTCTGATGTTGTGGCTAAGTGATTATTTTTATCTGTAAGTGGTGGTATGGATGACTTGGTGAAGTTAGATCCAACAGCTTTTGCAAGAGACCAAAAGGACCTAGAACTACTTGGACAATTCAGCAACCTGTTTTTTATTCTTTGATTGTATGTTTCTTTAGCGGAGTCAATAGTAATTTTGCAACTATTTCTGGCTTCTATAAATTCTGTGTGGTTTTGAGCGGTTTGTTGTCGTTTCCAAAGGTTATATGCTCTGTGTTTTTTCTGTACAGCCGTTTGACACTGGCTATTGAACCAAGGTTTTGCATTAGCTCTACGTTTAGTTGTATGTGGAATATATACATCCATTCCAGATAAGATTACTTGTGTTATTTCATTACAGCAAATAGTGGGATCAGCTGTTTTAAAGCAAACCTCTTGCCATGGAAAATCCAGGTAAAACTGTTTTAGGTCATTCCATTTTGCCGATTTATAGTGCCACATTTTACGAGGAAGTGGTTGTTGGCTTGGTGGGATGAGCATTTCGCACTTTGTTATTATAAGTTTATGATCGGACGAACCAAGTGGAGCATCTACTTGAATTATGTACGAGTCAGGATTTGTGGTTAGGAACAAGTCTAAAAGCGCTGCAAATTCGCCCCTTTCTGAGATACGGGTAGGTTCATCGACAAGCTGCGTTAGACCACAACTTATGGCAAAAGCTTCTGCTTCTCTGCCTTCGTTATCTGTTTTGTTGTGGTGTTTCAGCCAGGGTATATTGTGGACGTTGAAATCGCCTAAAAAGACAATTTCCGCCTGTGGATAGTTTGACTGTATACTATCACAGCTTTCGGATAATGTCGCGAAAAAGTTTTGGTACTCGGTGTTAGATGGCGGTCGGTAGAGGCAGCTAGATGGCGGTCGGTAGAGGCAGCAGATAAACTTGGTCGATGACTTTGAGGTGAATTTTAGCCATATGATATCAAGGTTCGCTGGTTCTAGCTTCTCCTCTCGATGACATGAAAGGTCATTTTTAATGTACACACAGATCCCAAAATTATGTCGAAATCGGTGGTGTAGGTCATAGCCGGGATAAAGAAAGTTCACAATAGGTGTTGCAGAACTGATTTTAGTTTCAGTGAGAACAAGGATGTCAGGTCTTTGTTCTTCAAGATGTTGGTGAACTGAATTCATATTTGTACTTATTCCTCTTATATTGCTAAAATCAATTCTGAGTTGAGTTTTTGATCTTCTCTTTATATCTTTGCATGAAGGACCCCCAGGATCACCCGACGCCCGGAGATCCGAGTGGTCGGGTATTTTACCTCCGGAATATTTTGATCCTGGAGGCGCCATCATGCTATCTGTTACTCATTGTTAGAACCGGACTGCCAGCGCAGTAGCGGAACGTGGTGATACCACTTAGCGCTACTCTTGCCTGCTTCAATGAGATCAGCCGCCGTGAGTTCGGGTCTTATGTGGTCATTTAGGTAGTTGGGCGTCATTCCAAGTGGTATTTTATTCTTTGTAGGAAAAAGTTGTATAGCGACTTCAACCATCCTTTCTAAAGTGAGGGCACGCCCTTCTGTTCTAAATTTGAGTGTTCTCGAAACTACTCTGTATCCCTCTACCCAGCAGTTCTCATCAATTTCTTCGCATAGCTGCGACAGCCTGATCTTTTCTCTTTCTCAAGGGCGGCCCTAAGATGTTTCTTATTGAGAATATACCTACTCTGTAGCCACGTCTCCCACGTCTAGGTGATTTTTTCTGTTAGTCCTGGTTAGCTTTATTCTGATCGCAAGGTATCGTGTCCTCAGAAGCCCGATCCTCGGGCCAGGGAGAAGAGCTCTCCGATAGAATGAATGTTTTGTCTTTGTTAACGTAATCGAAAAGTAAATGAGAATGATGAAGACGAAAAATTTGTTCTCTCGAGGAGCTCTACTCCGTGTCTCGAGGATCGGCCCGCTGGTCAGCGATCGCCTCCGTCAACCAGTATACCAGCTTCCGATAGCCACGTGATCCAATCTTCTTGGGCATTGTGGCATGTGGCAGTGCCTATATTTGTCAGCACCCCTGTGATCCCTTGTGACGTTGTTACGTTTGCGGTTGCATTTATTTCGTTAAGAGTTTGCTCTAGTTTGGTTTGATCCAAGCGGCGGATATTCCACCCTTCCTTTCGTTCGGCTGTTTCGGAGTTTGCTGGTTTGCCTGCGATTTCAAAGTACATGTTGTGGAAACTAAAAATGTTTCTTAAGCAATAAAGCGCATCTCCTGGTCAGTTCGGGTGAGTTGCTCCGAAAACGCTACATGTAAGCAACCCTGGGCACAACCCTGCGAACAGAAAGAGAAAGATGATGGAATCAAATATTCCTACGCGACCCACATGTACAAGAAGAGACTGGCACCACCACACGCGACACACGCCACGCTCCTCTCTTCTTACAATTTCATATTTTATCGGGTCCAGAAAACGATTCCATGTTTTATTTTTTACTCAAAAAAAGCAGTATTCACGCAGTATTGTACCTGTGGTATTATAATGGCAGTATTATTATTATTAGCCAGCCATAGTGAATGTAAAAGTTTAGTGATTTTCCAGTATTCTTGTTGATCAGTTATTGATCCATTGTATAATAAACGACATGAATGTATTCCATGGAGTTTTTATTTAATCGGAGGAAAAACAATCAAGCAAACATACAGTCCACTACATATTTTGGTCGCAATCGAGTCGGATTTGCGAAATTTGGAATCGGAAATCTTCAAGAACAAGCTAGTAAAATAAGCAATTAAGATTAAGGTTATGTTATGATATGATGGAATAATAATTGTGAATGGTTAATAGCAATTATTGGACAATGGCAGCTCTCTGAAGATTACCAGGGTGAAGCTAAAAGTGTTGTGTGTTTTTGTGAAGGAAAGCAAGGAACAAGGACATCAAGGACATCATTAAGGTCAGACTGTTTCAATAATTTAACTTGTGCATGATTTACGAGGCAATTTATGAAATTTAATACTTTTGCTGTTACACAATATATTATTTAAAAATTGAGGTAGGTAGATTTAATAATTTTGCATAGGATTTATGTTTGCGCCAGGGTTTTTCTATTTAGGTAAAAATGCTTGGCAACGCCGCCTGCTGAAAAATTTGTGGGTACCAAAAGGATTTAGGCCAGTAATAAAATATTAGCGACGGAAAGCTAATGCAAAAATATAATTGATATTTTTCGGGTCGGCAATTTCGGGAAATTAAAGTATTTTCAAAGTTGTGACAAACTTCTATCGGCTCGCGATCTTGAGAAGAAATTTACTCGTCCTCTACGCATCCTTTTTCCTCTTCCTAGCTATTCCAAATATCTTTCCCTTGGGTAAAAAAAAAATGAAGTTAACAAATTAAGTGCAACGAGACCGGTAAGCATTGTTTTAATTAATTATATTTAGACCAACTGAGCTACGAAGGAAAGGAAGGATATTTGAAAATTAAGGGTTGCTCTTGCAAGAATAATAATCTGTTTTATTTCAATATTTTTAATGAAAAAAAGTCGAAGGTTTCGAAAGGATTGTCTAACAACAAAAAGGCTGATGTTTCAAGGGATTTTCAATCGAATAGGATTAAAATAGTTTAGGGATTTTCTGGGTGATTTTAAATCATAGGCTCCAGGTTTAGTTATAAATATAGGTTTTCAAGGCAAAGGTTATTCTCGAGGTTATTCTGTACCTATATAAAAACATAGATTAGGTAGATATTTTCACTCAAATTTAAGTTATTGTTATTTTATTAGACAAGTATTAATATTAAGTTTCTTTTTCACATTTTCATTGAGACAAAATAAAACATGGAGGCTTCAAAAAATAATCGTGGGTATGCTAAGGGTAAAATAACAAGAACTGAAAAATATTTGAATGGATTTATTGATTTGAATTTTGACATAAATGAATTAAATATTAGGGAAGATTTGCTTATAAATAGCTTCAATGAATTTTGTGCTATTCAGCAATCAATTGAGGAACAAATGGATGCGTAAGAATCAGAGGCTCACTTAAAAGAGATGGAGTACAAATGAGGTATATTAGTTAGATGGGGTACAAATGAGGTATATTAGTTTTCATACAAAAATTAAATATTTTATTCAGGAACTTAATAAACAACAATAATGGAGGCAACAATTATCAAACATTACGAGTTCTCAGCAAAACCAAACCCCTGTGTCTGTATCTCAGCCGCAAAGGATTAAAACAAATTTGCCTAGTATGAATGGGAGTGGCGAATATTTTTTGATTTATCCACAGCTTCAATTCACAATGATAGTTCATTGGCGGATTCTCAGAAATTTGTTTATTTGAAATCATTTTTGAAAGATGAGTGGCGAATATTTTTTAATTTATCCTCAGCTTCAATTCACAATGATAGTTCATTGGCGGATTCTCAGAAATCTGTTTATTCGAAATCATTTTTGAAAGATCAGCCGCTTTCTATAATTAATAAGCTGAATATCACTGATAGTAATTATGTTTACCTTTTTAATGGCTACGGTGGAAAAAATCCTATAATCGCTACAGAGTGGTCTCACAGACACGCCATTAGAATTCGTGTTTTAAAATTCAAATTAATCTCGAATTATATCCAAACCTTGGTTCAAATAAAACTAGAAACTGTTAACAAACAAACTCAGCTTAGCTCCTTTCTCAGGGCCTGGAAAATGTCCAAGTTGCTTCGCACCAGCTTTGAGTGTATCTAAGTTTTCTTCGTTATCTATATCGTTATCAAGTTCATCAAAATCTGAATAATCGACAGATTTTGTGCCCATTTTTGAAATTTTGGGTCATCTGGATATATTTAAGTAATCGTTACTCTGTGGTCTAGCAGACAAGTATCTATCATAAAAAAATTCCTGCTCACTCCACTGATGTTATATCATTACTCATGTGTGGGACAGTGATCCAGTGAAAGGTACATAAACCTCCACCTCTCAAAACACAAGTATTTTCAAAATAACCGAAAATGATTTTCGCTAGGTGTCTAGCAGACCACTGCATAGCCGTTAAATGTTAAAGCTTTGGATATGTTGAACCTAAGAAACGATAAGAAAATGCCAATGATTAATCACCACATTAATGGACTTTTACAAATTCAGTTATTAAAGGGCTCCCACGGTTTAAGGGAATTTTTAAGTCAAATTCACCAACATATAAATGCTTTAGAAGCATTAAATATTATGGTTACGGCATCTTGGGACTTGCTTCTGATAAACATTTTTTCCAATAAACTTGACAGGCATCTTAGAAATTTATTTGAGTTGTCTAGGGACCAGTCAGAGCTACCAAAGTTAAAGGAATTTTTCGAATTTTTGGAAAAGAGGGTTGTTCTTCTGCACCTTCAAAAGCTGACTTGAGGCCATCTCTGGTCGACCCATTCAGCAGCTGTAAAGTATGATGGCTCGTATGATGGGCATGGTCGAGGGCAAGGTCGAGGGCAAGGTCGAGGGCAAGGTCGAGGGCAAGGTGGAGGGCAAGGTCGAGGGCATGGTCGAGGGCAAGGTCGAGGGCAAGGTCGAGGGCAAGGTTTAAGGCAAGGTTTCGAATGTTCATTCTGTGAAGGTTAAGGACACTGTATTCACGTAGAAAATTTAAAGGTACTAATACTTCTCAAAAATGGGATTTTGTTACAAAAAATAGGCTTTGTTTCAATTGTCTTAATACAGGTCGTGGAGTGTCTCAATGCAAAAAAGAAAAATGCAGGCATTGTTCAGGCAAGCATCATTATTTGATTCATGGGGTTCCAGTTTCTCAGGCTAACTCCTCAAATGGTGAAAATTTTCAGAATTTCAGTCGAGGCGCAGAACAAAATCAGAAGATTGCGTCAGCAGTTCAAGCTTCAACTTCAAGTTCAACTTGTACTCTCTACCATCTTGTTCAGCAAAACACGTTTTGTTGGTTACAGCCAAATTTACATTGTATAGTGGGGAAGGAAATAAATTAGAGGTATGAGGTTTCCTATATTCGACTTCACAAACTTCATTTATCACTACATCGGTCATGGATAGGTTGAAAGCAATTCCATTAAAGACTTTTATCCATAATTCTGGCATTGCACGAAGTAATAATAAAGTTTTTTAAAATGGTGAACTTGAAATTAGTATCAAATCGTAGTCACGAGACATTTCTTGTTACTTTTGGGGTTTTAGACAAAATGACTTGCGATTTGCCACAGCAAAGGATCAACACATCTGAAATTTGTATTCCTCAAGGAATAGATTCAGCCGATATTAATTATCATGCCCCAGGCAAAATAGATATGCTTTTGAGAGCAGACTTGTATTTTGATTTGAAAGAGCCAGACATTTTGAAGTTTGGTTCAGGATTGCCAATTTTACACAACACCGAATTAGGTTGGATTTTGAGAGGGTCTGTTGGTAATAACCCAGAATAACTTGGTTTCAAATTTGGGTATTGTTCTTTTTTTTTAAATCTAACCAGGTATTAATGAATTAATTCCCAAATTCTGGCAATTGGAAGAAATTTCTAATACAAAATTACTTTCACTCGAAGATAAAATTACATAAAGTATGTTTGAAAATTCAACCCAAAAGGACATTCAGGGAAGATTTATTGTTAATTTACCATTTACCAGCAATTATAGCACCTCTACATATTGATTCTTCTCTCCATTCTACAGCTGATCAATCTTAGTTTGATTGCAGCCTTTTCCCTGTGTTCCATAAGCTTTTCGGCTTTCTCTTTTGATAGAGTTATCGTTGCAGTCTGTGTAATGACTGTATTCTAACCTCTTCCGGGTCTAATTTTCCTATCTCCTCTTCTTTGGCCTCTGCCTACTAATATATTTCTCCTGCTTCTAATTCTCTATCCTAGGCGGTGATTCCAATATTTGTATCCTTGACATAACCCTGAATCTGTTTTATTGCCAACTCATCTCTTTCGGTTATGGTTAGCAGTTTCCCATTTTTTGTCTCCCTTAGTCCTTGGATTTTTACGTTTGCACTATCATGTTTTAATGTCTCCATTACGCATATTAAGGTCTCCCTGTAGCTTTTATCTCTGGCCTTCTACAATTATGGCATAGGTGTTCTTCTCCTTCCTGCCTTCTACGGGCCCGCTTTCCCCTGCTATTGTGCTAGTAGTACTACTGCTGCGCAGGTATGCGTTAGTCGTGTAAATCGTTACATGTATTTTCGTTTCGCGGTTTATCATTTCCAACATCTTCCCCATACTGTCCAGGTGCATCTTGTTAAGGTGATACACCGCCACCTCGTCAGCCTTCCTTGTCTCCTCTCTCAGTCTCACCAGTGCGTTTCAGATCTCTTCCTCGCTATCTCTCATTTGCAACCTTATGGATTTCTGCTCTGTCGACGGTTCGCCTGTATCGGTCTTGATTCTGGTTCTCTGCGTCATCACGACAAATTTCTCATTTTTTTCCGCTAGTTCCGGGTATCTACTTCTATAGCGGGCCTGGATGCTCTTCTCCATATTAGGGTCCGTTGGTTCTATTAGCACCACCTTAAAAGTAGTGCTCGTCCATTATCAGCTCGCATCCCAGAAAACATTGAGCGAGTAAGGGAGGTGATGGAAAATCAACAAAAAACATCAGTTCGCCATCTCTCTCAACAAGTCAGAATATCTTTGGGTATGTCATACCATTTTAATGGAGGATCTAGACTTTTTTATACCTACAGAAGCGCAAAAGTTAAAGCCCCCAGATCTTCCCCTGCGCACTCTTAAATGCCAATTTTCCTTGGAAAATATGTACGATAATCCACATCTTCATGCAGTAACATTTTTCACCGATGAAGCATGGTTCGACAAAACTGGCTACATAAATGCCCAGAATATAAGAATATGGAGCGTCGAAAATCGTCATGCAATACTTGAAACGCCTTTGCATCCTGAAAAAGTAGGTGTCTGGGCAGCATATAGTGCAAGAAGAATAATTCGAAACTGACTTTTTGTTCCTCATTATCGTACCAAAATCTGTACTTATATTTTAAGGAAATATCAATTCACTCCGCTACCGGTAAGATATCCTGCAACCATTTTCCGAAGAATTGCATGATGATGAACCTCAGCTAGGCTTCTTCCAGCACGATTTAGCAACATCTCATTGCACACAGGAGACTTTGGATCTGCTTCACGAATATTATGATGACCGGGGTATAAGCAGAAATACAGACACTCCTTATCCCCCAAGATAGGGGGGCATATAGGGCATCTCTCGTCCCTTTCGCAATCCTTTGTGCTATGTCCGCGTTTACCGCATCTGAAGCCTAATTCGCTTCTGTCTGGTTCATCACAATCTTCTCTGATGTGGTCATACGACCAGCATTTATAGCACCTCTGCATATTGATTCTTCTCTGCATTCTACAGCTGATCATTTCCACTCTGATTTCAGCCTTTTATTTGTGTTCCATAAGCTTTTCGGCTTTCTCTTTTGACAGATTTATCGGTGCGGTCTGTGTAATGACTCTATTATAACCTCTTCCAAGTCTGATTTCCCTATCCTCTCCCCTATGGCCTCTGCCAGCTCTTGCTCCGTATATTCCCTCTCACTTCTTGCTCTCTATCCCTATTACCTTGGCGGTGACTAACACATTTGTATTCTTGATTTTACCCTGAATCTCTTTTATAGCCAACTCATCACTCATCTCTTTCGGTTCGGATTAGCAGTTTCCCATCTTTTGCCCTTAGCCCTTGGATTTTTGCGTTTGCACTATCGTGTTTTAATGTCTCCCTTACGTAATTTCAAGTCTCCCTGAAGCTTTTCTCTCTGACCTCTACAATTATGGCATAGGCGCTTTCCTGGCTACTACGGAACCGCTTTCCCCTGCTGTTATGCTGGTACAACTCTCTCTTGTCTCCTCTCTCAGTTTCACCAGTGCGTTCTAGATCTGCTCTAGTCCAAGCAAACTAATTCAAAATGGCGGCGACTCGTGCATTAAAGGATGGGGTTCCAATTTTTTCAAGTATGTATAGGGGATGGTGTCCTTAACAACGTCTTATGAAGTCCC